AGAGCATGTGACTCTTGATCCCAGGGTCATGAGTTCGAGTCCTATGCTGGGGATGAGTTTACTTAAAAAAAAAAAAAAGTACTAAAATACTTAAAAATATATAAAAATAAAATAAGATGGAGGTGAGACAAGGGTTTTCCGCTTTACTCCTCCTAGTGGTGATCAGAAAGGGCTGCATTCCCTGACTCTCACTTCCTGGTTGGGAAAAAATTCCAGGGACAAAATTTGTCTTAGATCTTGGATCTTAGAATCCAGAACAATCCTCCAAAACTAAAGGTAACAGATACCAAGGCGCCTGGGTAGCTCGGTCAATTAAGCATCGAACTCTCAATTTCAGCTCAGGTCATGATCTCATGGTTTGTGGGATCAAGCCCTGCTATGGGCTTAATGCTGACAGTGCAGTGCCTTCTTGGGATTCTCTCTCTCCCTCTCTCTCTCTCTCTCTCTCAAAACTAAATAAACAAAAAAAAATTTTTTTTTAAGACAACAGGTACCAGGGGCACCTGAGTGGCTCAGTCGGTTAAGCGGCCAACTTCAGCTCAGGTCATGATCTCGCGGTCCGTGAGTTCGAGCCCCGCGTCGGGCTCTGTGCTGACAGCTCAGAGCCTGGAGCCTGTTTCAGATTCTGTGTCTCCCTCTCTCTCTGACCCTCCCCCATTCATGCTCTGTCTCTCTCTGTCTCAAAAATAAATAAATGTTAAAAAAAAAAAAAAGACAACAGGTACCACAAATTTACACTGAGTTGTGTATAAGTCTCTCACGGGTAATTACAATGTAAATAACCATGCACTACATAAAGTAACCTGTACTCTACTCATTGCAAATTTCCAAGTTCACCTAATTTACACATAGAAGAAACAAAAATGACCTTCAAATTGAAGTCTGTAAGATTTTTTTCTCAAAACACTTTGACACCATAAAAAAATATTAATTCTTCAGATATTAACTTTTTTTTAAAGGCCCAAACAGGCTTTATTCAACAGATAGTTGTGCTTGAAAGTTAAAAGGCAGATTAAATAAAGGCATAGTATATACTTTAAAAGAAATGTCATTTAAAGTACAGTAAGTGATCAACAAATAGTAACTATTTTTATACTCCATAACCATACTTTCTTACAAAGAACCAACTTTAAAAACTCACGGAGCTTGAAAATTTTATTTAATCCATTGGAAATCTCTCTTCTATAGTCACAATACAACCTAAAGGGACATAGTTTAGTTGACAAGCTTTCAATGAATACTAATGCAGTAATTAAAGTGTGGTTTCTGGACCACAAGTTCTGGGAACTTGTTAGAAATGCAAACTAGAATCAAGGTCTGGGGAGGGGCCCAGCAATCAGAGCTCTAACAAGCCCTCCAGGTGATACTGGCGTTTACTCCAGTTTGAGAGTTTATTAGACTAGCTCACAGAGCTCAGGATGCTTTGTTCTGCAGGGACTGGGAAGTCCTAAAGAGCAGGTACAGGTACAACATGGTTCCTAGATATAACTTCTATGGAACCTAGCAGTGTCCTACACAAAGTAGGCACTTAAACTTGAACAGGTTAATGACAGTCTCCTATAACCTATACCTGGCTAGACAAGAACACCATCAGTTTATCTATTTCACAGAGATCAGAAATTCTGATGGCTTGTCTCCATTAACTAATAATAAGTAAATACAGGCTGCACACACACCAGGAGCTGTTAACTGACAGAGCCCTGGGGCCTCTGGTACTTTGACAAACGGCTCAGGCTCACAACGTGTCATATGCTTTAATATTTAAGTGAAAAAATACATTTCTGATTTTACCAGTGTCCAAACAGGATTTGCCCATGGCTCCATATAAGTCATGACACTGCAGAACAAAAACCAAAACATAAATTTTTTTTTGTTGCCTTCAAAATGCATCTTATTTCACATATTAGCTCACTGTAATATATGGACCCTGGATGGAGTCCAATTTGAACAAAGTGTTAAAAAAGTAGACAACTGAGGAAAATTGAAGACTGACTGGATATCTGATGTTAAGAAATTAGGATAAAGGGACTAGGATTACAATCTTTATAAGACTAAAGCTTTATCTCTCCTAAAAGCTTTAGAGATGAAATGATATGAGGTACTGAATTTGCTTCTTGGGGAGACCCCAAATGAAATAAGACGGCCACTGAGTATGTGGGGGGCTAACTATATACAAGGGTTTCTCAACCCTGAGCCTATTGCCATTTTTTGCCAGATGTTTTGCTGTTGTTGGGGGGAGGAAGGGGTGCTGCCCTGTATACTGTAAAATGTTTAGCAGCATTCCTGGTCAGTAAACTCTCTTCTGCTGTGACAACCAAAAAATGTCTCCAGACATCATCAAATGTCCACAGGGCAGCAAAACTGTTCCTGGTTGAGAACCACTAATACAAACTAAATTCTCCCTACTTGTTTGTTTGAAATCTTCCGTAACAATACATTTAAGTCTTATTTTAATTATACTCTGTGTAATGGCACATCTATATCTCTCTGGTTGAGTAATTAGTACATAAGCTTTTGAGGAACAGCTTGGTACCCAAAAAAGCAGAGGGAACTGAACTGGAGATGTGGAGCCTAGTGGTGGCTCTGCTACTAAATAGTGTTGTCACAGCAGCTCCTGTCACCTCTCTGAGCATCCTCATTAGGTCAGATTATTTGATTAGTCCTTATGAGTTTTAAAATTATTTGAAAACAGTATTATCTTTTATATATCCATCAGCTAAAGGTGGGTACTCACATTTATAAATCAAACAAACGAAAACAGAGTAGTGGACTAGGATGAAGACAATATTCTTGTTGCAAATAATCTGCCTTTTATTATTCCTCTATCTATAAGCAACATTCCCATCACAGCCATTTACAATTACTTAAAATTAAAATTGATTCCCAAGATAAGCAAAATGGAAAGTCTTTTCACAAAAAAGACAAAGTTGTTCTAGTCATAGTAGCCAAAATGCCCATCAACGGTGAATGGATTAGAAATTGTTGTACATTAACTGGGTGATGTATGGAAGTGTTGAATCCCTATACTACACACCTGAAACTAATATAACACTGTATGTTAACTATACTGGAATTAATATAATAACTTAAAAAAAAAACAAAGAAACTTCTGTACATCCAAACAATGAATTACCCACCACTCAGCGATAAAAAGAAATGAACTACTGATACACACACAAACATTAATAAAGATTCCATTTACATGACATTCTAGAAAACATAAAACTATAGGGACAGATAACAGATCAGTGGCTGCCAAAGGCTGTAGAAAGAGAGAGGCGACTGACTGTAAAGGGCCCCAATGTAAGCAAGCACCTTCCTGGGCAATGAAGATGTTCTGTATGTTGACTGTGGTGAGGGTTACATGACTATACATTTGTCACAACTCATCAAACAAGACACTTAGGAAGAGTAAATGTTCTATCTCAATAAACCTGACTTTAACAAAACAGCTGCTCAAGAAACTGAGAGCTCTCATTCATTCTTGTACCCTGACCACTCAACTGGCAGTTCAGGAATGGCAGGCAAATAACATGACATATGCCAGACACATAACACTCGACACAAGGGCACCACACTGTCAAAGACACACAACTACTTCCAGAAGATTCTAACACAAGTTAAAAAATGGAACAGGGCACGGTGAATCCATGCCATGATACGCTACCAACCTCTGATTTTAACATTGTCAAAAATTCAAATTTAAACACATTCTACAAGAATAAAGGCACGCTCCGTACCTTACATTGTTTTCAAAGAATAAAGTTAGTAGTTTCTAACAACACACAGAAAGATTAGAACACGATTCAACAAATTCACCAGAGAACAAAGTAAAGACTCACTTAGGGTAAGTCCTTCATTACCACAAACCTGACTGTTTTTGGCTTCGGTTCATTTAGAAAGTATGGAGCTCCTGCTCTGGGTCAATGTAAGATTTTGCCGCTTTGAGTGCAAGTCAAGGACCGAAGCTAGCCAACTCCCCATTTTGCTTACTCCGCTCTGCAGTGTGGTCAAGGAACAGGAAACTGATCAAGTCAGGAACACGTTCTTCAAAAGAGCCCTAAGAAAACGAGTTCACGGACTCACCTGGTCTATGATTTCCCATCACTGACCCTTCACGGAACTTTCTAACCCGTCTCAGGTGAAGGAACACGCGCGGCGGAACCACCCACTCACCAGGGGAAAGAGCACTACGTACTGGGCGCTGATACACCACGGGAATGCTTTACACCAAACCCTGCGTGAGCAGATTAAGTCACCTGAGCGCCACCCAGCCAACAAGCGGCACTTGCAAGACTCAGACGAAGGCACCGGCACCGCCAGGCCACAGCGTCTCAGGCCACGGCTGAAAGCAGGGAAACGGGCAGAGCGAGAAGGCTGTTCCTCAGTGACGGCGTCTTCCTGCCAGGAACCACCCCGGAACACGTCTGATGAAAGGCCCGCGGAGTTTCTTCCCAAGCTACCTGCTCCACGTCTTCCAGAAAGCACCCCCCGGACCCGAACTGCCCTGAACCGAGCGCAAGACAAGGGCTCAGAGAGCCCTTGGACGGAGTCAGCGTTTCTCCGAAGGCCTTTCCGCTGCACGTCGCCGCCCCCGGCCCTTGGAAAGGTTTCCACGGACACAGCCAAAGGGTCCGCGCACAGAATCCCAGGCCGTGAGCGCTGGAGCGGGGGCTCGGCGCCGTCGAAGCCCGCTGGCGGTCGGCAGGCGGGAAGCCAAGCCCGGAGCCGGCGTCCCCCGGCCGGGGCGGCGTTACCAGCCACCTTCCTTTCAAAACCGCTTCATCGACCCTTCCAGACAGATGCGCCCGGAAGGGCAGCGACTCCTCAAGGAAGCCGGTACTCTCTCCCAAAACTTCTCTCCTGACCCTGCCAAGGGGCCCTCGAACACGCCCCCGCGGCCACTCAAGTGTCGAGCCGGTCACTAAGCTTAGTTCCAGACAGTTTGACAAAACCAGGCAAAAAGGACAGCCCACTCGACCCGACCAAGGGCTTCTCACCGGCACCACGAACACGTTTCCAGCCCGCCAGCCCCTCGAGAGCTTGCCCGCCCCATCTGCAAGGAGAGCCTGCCCCAAGTCAGCACCAAGCGCGGCCGAGGGCGGACAACACGCACCGGGCGCGGCGGCCGGGGTGCCCCCCCACCCACACACACACCCCGGCCGGCGAGCGGGACTCGGCGAGAGCACGGAGGCACGACCCGGGCCGCCGCCTCCAGGAAACGGTCGCGCCCCGCCGCCCCCCGCGGCCTCCGGCCGGCCCCCC